CTTGAGCCCAGGAGTTGGAGGTTGCTGTGAGCTGTGATGCCACAGCACTCTACCCAGGGTGACAGCTTGAGGCTCTGTCTCAAAAAAAAAAAAGAGCATCGATTAAGAGTGTGGGCTTAAGAGTCAGAAGGACCAGTGTGAATGAAGACCTGAGACTTACTAGCTCTGACCCTGGACGCTTTTTTATAAAAGCTTATTGAGCCTCAGTTTCCTCATCTGTACAAAGAGGGCGGTAGAGCTCCTCCTCACGGAATTGGGATAAGACACAAATGAGGTGATGCATTTGGCCACCTGGTGTGTACTAAGCTGCTCTGTGGTCCTAAGCACTTACCACGTGGTGGGCCCCTCCTGCCTGTGGCTACTCTGATGCTGACCTTTGTCTCAGGTGACAGGAACACCTTCCAAAGGTTTTGATGAGAAGGCGTACCTGTCAGCCAAGCAGCTGAAGGCGGGAGAGGACCCCTACCGGCAGCACGCCTTCAACCAGCTGGAGAGTGATAAGCTGAGTCCTGACCGGCCCATCCGTGACACTCGCCATTACAGGTATGGCCTCCTGTGCCCACAGAGAGAGATGTTGAGAAAAGGCCAACATTGTTTAGCTGACTTTCTTTTACTCATGTATGTTAAGAAATGAAGACAGTTCCCTTAGACACAGCCTGGTGATTTAGACATTCAAATACCCTCACCTCCTTTGCTTTTTTGATGCCTCTTTATTTCATTGACCTACCAAGGGCCTGCAAAGGCCAAAAAACCCCTGAGCTGGGCCCAGAGAGGCCCCTCAGCACCTCCTTGGATGTCCCAGCAAGACCATGAGGAGGTCTGAGGGAGTGGGTGAGCCAGGTGCTCTTGGTGCCCTATTGGGACTGCCTGAGGTAAAGGGCCACCTGCCCACCCACTGCACATAGTAGAGTGCAATGCACTGCACCACTGGAACCCTTTCCTGCCCTTCCTCCTGCCCCGCTGCCTCACCTGCTCCCAGAAATGCCCCAAGCCTTGTTTTTATTTCTCTTAGTGTGATAAGGTGGGGAGGCCCTAGACCACCTGTCCCTAGATCAGGACCAAGGACACTCCCTCTAATCCCAGCTCAGTCTGAGTGACTGGGCTTGAGCAAGTCATCACCTCCTTGATCCAGGCCCTTGTGTATCCTGTCTAGAGTGTCAGAGTCACCACCCTAGTCTTTCCTCTTCCCACCTATGGGAACAATCTGGACTCCTGCCAAAGCACACCCCTTGCCTCCACATGGCCTGGCCTCATCCACCTGTTCCCCTAGCACTTAGTGCCCTGCAATCCACCTCTTCCCCTAACACTTAGTGCCCCGCAGTCCTAACCAGTTTCCTCCCTTTCTTTTCCACACATGCTTTTCCGTCTGCCAGAACACCCCTTCCCCTCATATCCTTCAAGACTGGGCTCAGGCCAAGGGAGGTGGTTCACACCTGTAATCCTTTCACTCTGGGAGGCTGAGGCAGGTGGATCACTTGAGCTCAGGAGTTTAAGACCAGCCTGAGCAAGAGCGAGATCCCCCCCCCCAACGTCTCTACTAAAAATAGAATAACTAGCTAAATGTAGTGGTGCAATGCCCATAGTCCCAGCTATGTGGGAGGCTGAGGCAAGAGGATCGCTTGGGCCCAAGAGTTTGAGGTTGCTGTGAGCTATGACGCCATGGCATTCTACCAGAGTGACAAAGTGAGACTCTGTCTCAGAGGGAAAAAAAGACTGGCTCAGTGTCCTTTCCTCTGTGGACAGTTGCCAGCCCCAGCAAGGTTGGGGCCCTCCTCTGTACTCTGTGCAGACATCTAATTGAGTGGCTAGGGCGCTGTTGCCATTGATCTTCCCCTCTGCCTGAAGCTATGTACTCAGAGCCAGGCTGGCCTCTGCCTGGTCCTGGCTGGTGGGCAGGCAGCAATGACTCTGGCCAATATTGCTTAGACGCCTGAAGCAGCGACTGCAGGCACAAAGGATGTACATGAGAAAAGGATACAGAGGGGCCCTGGTCCTAGCACCTTCCTTGTCACTCTTGGAGGCATGCCTGAAGTCCAAGAGGCTTGGTGGCCTGTGCGAAGTGAGAAGGATGCAGGGCTTGGGGAGCTCCAGACCTGTCACTGTCCTGCTGCCCCAGCACTGTGGGCCTCCAGAACCCACTCATGCTGCCAGATGAGTCAGTGATCCTGCTGCACAGCAAGACTCCCTGATGGGTCAGTGGCCTTTTCCTGTCTGCAGAAGCTTTTTCTTAGTCAGTCCTGAGGCCCTGTCCTGGCATGTCTTCTGCTCTGCTGATGAGGTTATGTCCATGAAGCTCCACCTAGAGACCCTTCACCAGCAGCCCTAGCCATGACCTGCCTAATCCCCAGGGCCCAGAGGACCTGCTGACCCAAGCTGTGGGTTGAGGGCTTGGGCCTGGAGAATCTCAGAACCTTTTCAGGTGCTCACTGAGAAACTTAGAGGGAAAATTGCCCTTGGGGCAATGAACATTCTAAAATGGTTCTCTATGTCTGGTGTCCTCAAACTATAGCCCGTGGGCCACATGCAGCCTGCCTAGGACATTTATCCAGCCTGCCAGGTGTTTTTGCTGCCGCTGCCTGCCCTGCTTAGCAGCCAACTTGTCCCGGGGCCCGTAGTCCAGTCCTCCAACGGTCTGAGGGACAGTGAACTGGCCCCTTGTTTAAAAAGTTTGAGGACCCCTGTCCTAGGCAGTGGTGGGTTGGTGGGGTGCTGCCAGGCCTTCTCAGAAGGCTGAGGATGCTAGGGTGTGTGTGTGTGCATGTGCATACATGTATGCCTGTGTAAGTGCAGTGCACATGTGTGTGCATGCACATGTAGGTATGTGCACTCACGTGTGCACACAATGCATAGTGTGCTTTGCACATGTGCGTGCATGCGTGTATGTATGTGTATACATGCATATATGTATGTGTGCGTGCATGTGTATTTGTAGGGGACAAAGGTCGTTTTGGCTTTGGTGGGCAGTCCTCCTGTGGTGGGGCCTGTGTGCTGGTGGGAGCCTCCTGTTCTCTGTGGCCCCCTAGGCTGCAGCTTCTGCTGGTTTCCAAGTCGTGAGGCTAGTTCCTGGCCCAGGAAGGCTGGGGCACAAAGACAGAGACCTGGGGCTCTGGAGTAGGCACTGAGGGCTGCCACCCAGGAGGCATATGCTCCTCCCAGCACACCCTGCCTCAGCCGGCCAAACTCACTCCTGCTCCCAAATCTGCAGGTCCTTGGAAAACATGACTTCTCAGGGGCCAGAGGAGAATTTCCCTCCCAAAAGCTACCCTCCCCCGCCTCAAGGAGAATTATTATAAAGCCTGTCAGGATTTCTCCCATGGGGGTCCCAGGCTGGTGGGACTCCTGCCTGTCTGACCCGGTCTGCTCTGCAGGGCAGGAAATGGGTCTGAGAATTCTGTAGGCTGCTGTCGGTGGAATGAATGCCATAAAGAAAAAATAGTCCCTGCTGAAGTAGTCCGAGAGCAATCATAATAAAGAAGATGGCTATGGAAACTAGCAGCTAGGCCGCCTTCCAGCCGCCTGGGAGCCTGCAGATGAGTTCCCAGAAACAACAGGGAGGAAGCCTGACAGGAAGGGATTGTTTTAACTCCCTTTCTAGAGGAGGGGGAACCAGTGGACTAAAAAATGTGTCTGTGATGGCCGGGGAGGGAGGAGGACGCTGGGAAACGCCGTTAGTGTCTTCTCAGGGGCTTGTTTCCTGCCAGGGACCCAGGACCCAGGAGGAGGGGCAAGGTCGCTCTGCGGCCTGTGGTCTGCAGCAGGGCTGTTCGTGTTGGGCAGTGCCAGGGAGGGGGCGTGTTGTGGGGTGATGCTTCTCCAAATCCTCCCAACATCCTGAGCTGGAAGAAGGTGAGAAGAGAAGGAAAAGGTTTCTAGTATTGGGAGACAAAGAGAGGTGTTTCCCTCTTGCCCTCTCCCTGCTCCCATTTTGTCCTCCATGGTCTACCCCATTGGGCAGGGCATCTGTTGGCTCAAGACTGTGCACTGGGGCCTGATGCAGCACCTGTGCACAGTAGGGAGCCCTCCTGAACCTGGACGTGTCAGTGGAAGTGGGGTTCTGGTCTTGGGTAAGGAGCTCTCAGGCCTTGGAAGTTCCCCTAACCTATGCCTTCCCTCTGATGACTCTGACGGGTGGCATCGGGGTGCTGGGCTAGTGTGGGCTAGAGCATGGGTGTGGAGGTGGCCTGGCTGTGGCTTGCTTCGCTGCTTCACAGAAGTATTCCGGGGTAGCAGACTGAATAAAGAGAGGCCTTGAGCCTCTGATCTCCCGCTCCCTTCTCAGTTGCCCGTCCGTGTCCTACTCCTTGGACCTGCCGGCCACCAGTGTCATCATCACCTTCCACAACGAGGCGCGCTCCACTCTCCTGCGCACAGTGAAGAGGTAAACCCAGCCATGGTGTCCTTGTGGCAGTGGTGCTCCCCCAAGGCCTTGGCTGACCTGCAGCACCTCTGACAGGGAATGACTGAGATCAGGTGCTATGTATGGGCAGACAGCATGAAGACCAGTGGGCACTGGGATGGTGGGTCCTGTCCTCCTCCTGAGAAGCTGGGGCTGGTGAGTGAGGGTCAGGGAGACCCCAGAAGTCTGACTGTCAGAGAAATGCAGCGGTCTAACATGAGGTCAGCATCCAGCAGAAATGCAGGCATCAGGACAGAGGCAGGGAGGGCTGGACATGAGGCCTCAGGAGGCTAGGTGGCAGCCAAGTGAGGGGCCTCTTCTGTTTTCCATTTCCTCAATGAACTTAGATAAGAATGAAACTGGGAAAGGAGTGCCCAGTGGTATTGCAGGGATAAAAAAAGGGTTTCCTTTCCCAGGGAGCAGAGGAAGGGAAGGGATAGGGAGGGGAGGAAGCAGAGGGGCTCCCCTCCTGCCCTTTTAGGTAGGAAGGAGCCTCACCAGTCTTCCAGGCAGGCAGCTCCAGTCTAGTTGGTATTGCCCCTGGGCAGGGCTTGCTCAGGTCCAGGCAGCTTGAGCAGCTCCAGTTCCTGCCTTGTCAGCTCAACTAGGGCAGTCCCCCCACCCAATCTGGGGTTGGTTCCAAGAGCCCAAGGACCCAGGCAGCAAGGTCAGCTTGGTACTCCAAAGAGCTCACTGTTTCTCAGCCACTGATCAGGGCCCAGGAAGTCTGCAAACAGTTGTCCATGGCCAGTGTGCTGGCTCCTGAGCTGGGCAGTGGGAAGGTCTCACAGCACAGGGAGGGTAAATGGGAGGTGGCCCCTAATTCTGGGCTTCTTCTGTCTCCACTGCTGCTCCAGTGTCCTCAACCGAACTCCTGCCAACTTGATCCAGGAGATAATTTTAGTGGATGACTTCAGTTCAGACCGTAAGTATTCACCTTTTCTGTGCCCCCTCATTTCCTCAGAATCCCAGGCAAGCACTCTTGAAGTTGTCCTGGCCATCCCCGACTGACCTTTCTGCCCTTCAGTGGACATTCTGGGTCTTTTCTAGGACCCTTCTCTGGCCCTATTCCTTGATGCCAAAGGAGGGGAAAGAAGGGTGGGTATTGTTTGGGGTAGGACACCAGTGAGATGACATTAAAAAAAAATCAGCATCACAGTTTGGCACCCATATACAGTGGTTAGGGCGCCGGCCATGTACATCCGGGCTGGTGGGTTCGAACCCGGCCCAGGCCTACTAAGCAACAGTGACAACTACCACCACAACAAAAAAAAAACAAACAGCTGGGTATTGTGGTGGGTGCCTATAGTCCCAGCTACTTGGGAGGCTGAGGCAAGAGAATTGCTAGAGCCCAAGAATTGGAGGTTGCTGTGAGCCGTGATGCCATGTCAAGGCACTCTCCTGAGGGTGGCACTCTACTGAGGAGACTTAGTGAGGCTCTTTCAAAAAAAACCCCAAACAAACAAAAAGTCAGCATCAACAGCCTATTGTTATTACAACGCAGGTGAGAATGTGGGGTTGGTCATTGTTGCTGATGTGCTCTGGCCTCCCCAGTGGGGGGAGGAAACACCATAGGTACAGGCATTCTACAGTCTGGCCTGGGAGCAGGGCCATTCTTTAGCCAGTGATGACTGACCCCCTTCACCTTCCCCAACCCAGCCCTTTCCTGGGCCTAGTATGGGGCAGTTCCTGTGGTCTGATGCCCTTCCTGAACCAGTTTGCCTTCCCTCTCTGCACCCTCAGCCGAGGACTGTCTGCTCCTGACCAGGATCCCCAAGGTCAAGTGTCTGCGCAATGACCGACGAGAGGGTGAGTCCAGTGGGCCTGTCTTGGTGTAGTCCTCTGCGCCTGCCCACTCCTTTTGGTAGTATGGCACACCAAGCCAGCACGGCCCCCCTGCATTCCTGATGGCTGCGACCAGGGTCTGCCAACCCTCCTGCCTAGCTCAGCCCCTCTCACGGCACAACTGTAGGCAAGTTGTTCTACTCTTGGCTGCCGTGATTGTCTCTTCTGCCTTGCGAGTTTGTTGTAAGGATTAAATGAGATAGGCTACGTGGAAAGGCTTTGAGAAAATCAAAGGGAAGTATGAGGTAGCTGTGGCCTCATGGCAATCAGGGGGTGTTCTGGGGCACCCACTACTGAATTGCATTATGTATGGCACTCTGGAAGCCACAGAAGTGTGGTGAGTCCCCATTTATTGTTGTCAGTAGATTCTTGGAAACTTCAGCTTTAAGGGAAACAATGTATAACAAGACCAGTTTTATCATGGGCTAATTGATAAGAGCAAGTTAAGGCCGGTCAGGATGGCTCATACCTGTAATCCCAGCACTCTGAGAGGCAGAAATTGGAGGATTACTTGAGGCCAGGAGTGCGACAAGACTGCCTGAGCAAGAGCAAGACCTTGTCTACTGAAAATAGAAAAATTTGCCAGGTGCAATGGCTCCTGTGGTCTCAGCCAATTGGGAGACTGAGGCAGGAGGATCATTTGAGCCCAGAAGTTGGAGGTTGCTGTGAGCTATGTTGATGCCTCTGCACTCTAGCCTGGGTGACTGAACAGGACTGTCTCAATAAAAAAAATAAGGCTCAGCGCCTGTGGTTCAAGTGGCTAAGGTGCCAGCCACATACACCCAAGGTGGCAGGTTCAAATCCAGCCTGGGCCTGCCAAACAACAATGATGGCTGCAACCAAAAAATAGCCAGGCGTTGTGGCAGGCGCCTGTAGTCCCAGCTACTTAGGAGGCTGAGGCAGGAGACTCGCTTGAGCCCAGG